CGAGGGGGGGAGGCCGCCAGTCGCCACCGCCTGGGCCTGGCGGCAGACGGTGGTTCCGAGGCCGACAGGGTGGCTTTTCGCTTCAGGACAAACGCCGAACTCTTCCCAGCAAAGACGCTGCGGGAGCAGGGCGAGCAGAGGTGCTCCTGCGCTGCCCCTTCGCGCCAGCTGTGTCGGTCCTGATGGAGCACGCTGTGACACACTGAGGGTCATATCCTAGCCTCTATTTTGAGGTATGCAGAACCGAAACAGATCTGAAAAGTACACAGGCGTGGGTCGGCAGCCTGCCTTGGCATCACACTGGTCAAGAGTGAGCTGGGGAGCTTAAAAGTAACACAATTTTAGTACCTTGTAGCTGATCTGAAGAGTGGTGAGAAATACATCCTTCAGCGATAAACAGCAGAAAGGAGGGAAGTATCCTTGCCAAAACGAAATATCACCACCAGCATAAGAATTTACAGAACCTTACTACTTTTTTTCTCCAAAGATTTATTCAGCAATTAATAAATTAACACTGACCACAGCACGGGAACACTGCAGTGGCCTAACACTCATCTGATGTGTCTGAGTTGGGGCCTAACTCCCCAGGCAGCATTTGTCTTTGCCATCAAGCTGCTCAGTCTCTGCAAAGGAACTTCAGAGATTAAAGATGTTTATACCACTGGGATTTGGAGCTTTATCTCTGTCCCAGGTGCTTGGTAAGCTTTGGACCTGAGCCCCAGGACACCAACAGCCTGCTTGCGTGTCAGGCTGCAAAGGGCACATCTACCCTCTTTTACAGACACAGATCTGTTTTCATCTTCCTCCTGCTGATGTGGCACAAAGCCTGGAGAAGCTGTGTCAACTGAAGCCCTAGGTCATTTTAAAGAGGTACTCCTAAGAAAACAGCAACATATCCCCCAGGAGGATATCTAATCCACCCCTGCCTCAGACAGGTATTGTAAACTAGCTTTGTTGAATGCTTACAACTGTTCGGGGGAAAAAAAAAAATAGAGCTGGAGGATTTCACACGCCCCCAGGTGGCCTCTCCCAGCAATCTTTTCAATGCTTCATCAGCTTCCCTGCTGGCTCTTATGCCTCATATTAACAGACCTGTCCTAATCTATATGAGAACATTCCTCCTGGTTTGAATATTCCCTGCCCCCTTTCCCCTAGTCCTTCTTTCCACAGAAAAAAAATACCAGTTTTTCTTTAGACTTCTGTAAAATGTAGCATTTTCTAGATATTTGTTTATCCTGCTGCTGCCCTCTGGCCTCTTCAGGTGTCAACATCTTCCTTGCACTGAAGCACCCAAAGCTGAAGTACTGTATTCCAGGAGGGGCCACCTCACATTCAGCACCACAATCCATCTGAGTTACTCTCCCAAACTAATTTAAAAATACTAAATTTTTAGAAATAAAACTTTAGCAAAAGCAAATACAGGCAATTTCACATGTACCAAAATAAATTCCTCTCGAAATCATTAGTTAGGCTAAAAAAAAAAAAAAACGGCAGTTTGTCATGTAAAATTCAGTAGCTGTGAGTGTAGGCCAGCAGGAGACCTTCAGGAACATTGTTTCTCCTAGGAACTGAGACCCAGTGAAGCACAGTGCTTGACCAATTAATCGGTTCTGTGATAATTTGACAGACACATCAGAGCAGCCAGTTTTATTTGGAGCAATAATATCTACAGAAACTGGTATTATTTTTAAGATATTAGTAAAATTTTATCACCAAACAGCAAAACTTGGGGGTCAGGTAACGTATAAATCTCTTTTGGTTATTGCAGTAGGGCGAGTGCTGTTCTTCATAAGGCTCTGCTAACCCAAGCAGCAGGAACTCAGGCACTCTGAGGAAATCCAGTTACCTGCTGTCAAGTCCACGCCCGATGTGAGCACGGGAGGGTTGTGTTGGCTGCAGTAAGTCAATAAAGAGCACACACAGGATTGTACAGGGAGGCCAGACACAACATGTCAGGTTTTTATTAACCAAAAGTGAAGCTGAACCCCAGAGCGGTTTCACTGGTTAAAACCATATGTTTATATGGCAGATATTTTTCTCTCATGTTCAACACTACAGTGCAAGAACCAAACTTTGCAGCTGTTCATCCTTTGAGAATCAAGTACTACATGTAAAATGAATTAAAACAAGGGTCCCTCAATGAATCAATTAAAAAAAATGCATTTAACTCAAAAGAACAAACCAATTTTAAGAACCGTCTTATTAAATTCTCCCAAGTGAAAGACCTTTAAAAGCACTTGGAGCCTTGAGGTAGCAACTTTATGCAGAACTGAATTCCCTTCCTGCCCCACAGAGCAGATGAAAATTAGTAGCGCATCATTAGCTCCAGCCAGCTAAGCAGAGTTGAGTGTTCTCCTCTGAGGTTAGTGACTTTCTCTTGCACCTTGAGAGAGCAGTGTAGTGCTGCAGACTGTCGGGAGAAAATCCACAGGGAAGGCCTCTTGAAAGAAAATATATGGGTGGAAAAAGAGTGAAAATAATCTGTAATAACCGTAACAACGAAAATTATCTGGAGTGAAAAAAAATCCAAAGTGTTTGCATTTTGGCAAGACTAGTTTACAAATACATTTGAGAACAAGAGTCCACTTTCAGCAATGGAAAAGAAAGAATGGAATTGACATTCAAAGGGGTTTTTTTCTTTTTTTTTTTTCCCTCGGTGCAAAATCGCACTTTGTTTTTAAAGTTTTGCTTTAAAGTTTTAAGTTTTGCACTTTTGTTTCTAAAGAGAGCATTTTTGCCCTGTTTTGTTCTTTTACATCATGAAACCTGTGCTGTGACATTAAAAAGAAATACCATATGCCAGGATATTTGACCACCGAAAGCTCCTCTCACCGACTTCACAACAATCACAAGCAGGGAATCACAAACAAGAGACTTTTCTTCCTCTAAGTCTCACGGACACTATCCTCTTTGCCCACTTTGCTGCTGAGTTCTGAAGGTAATAAGCCTGTAAAAGACTCATACTCCACAGGTTGCCTCTGCAGAACAGGCAACTTCCCACTACAGAATCGGATCCAAAAATTTATCCCAACAATAACACCAGGAGGAAGGAGGCTTCTATGTCTTGCACACTTTGGGTTTCGATTCAGGCACTTGAACTGCTGGACAGATGCCATTCTCAACCAAGTAAGTGAACATAGGGTTAGAATCGTCTGTATCTAGGTCTAACAATGAAGTATCAGCAGCAAAGTGGAGGCAGGGAGTGAGCAATCCATCTGTGCTGAGACTTGTTTATTGTTTCTAAAATGCCCAAGAAGACAGCAGCAGTAACTGTTCCATAGTGTCCATTTTCCTTGTGAGTTGTGTTGCTGATACGAGGCTTTTCCGTGTCTTGAACTTAGAAGGCATTGAGGTATCCTGTGCCTAATTACCTGGATCCAACAGGTCCATGCTAGAGCCAAACATTGCCACCAGCTGCTCCTCATAATGTGTTATATTCCTCTTCATAATGTCCATGCAGGGTCCGAGCAACCTCTCAAATGCTTGCACATCCATGACTGCAAAGGAACAGAAGTGAAAACAAGATCGTTTACCAAAAAGGACACCACACAGCAACCTGTTTTTTGAACTCGGAACATAAAGTTCCACTCCAACCCACTTGGGTTTGAGGCTTCACCAGAAACCACAGAAACAGAAATCACATTTCTAATTTCCCTCTGTACTGTTACTTGGAGAGACAATATTAATGAAATACGTTCCCGACCCCAAGGATAAATACAGAAGCCAAATATACACCACACTGGCACAAAGAGATCACCTGAAAGCTGTGTGTGACAAACAAGCTGTAGACAAGAAGCTGATGCTACTTACCCCTTTAAAGAGTACAGGCCACACAAGAAGGAAAAAAAACAACCCAGCATCTGCTGGAAGGAAGCAGCAGTGCTGCTCAGACTCCAGTGTGGAGATCTGCTCCTGCCCTTGCTCCTAAACCACCGGTTACAAAAGGCTGCCAGGTTTTGAACAGCTGCTTACTTGGGCATGGTCCATAAAGAAGCAAAGACCAGAAACAAGCAACTAGAAACACAGAACATCTGCTCACCTAAACACTTGACCTCCCCGACAGCGTAGGCAGAGGCTGCTCTGGGTTTGTTGGTAACGAGTGCAAGCTCTCCAAAATACTGCCCTTTGTGGCACCGGGCAATCTCCACCTCCTGGTTGGCGTCTTTACTTGTCATAGTCTGTTAAACAGCACGTTTTAATTATTTGCATACAGCTCTGTCTTTGTACAAGGCTGCAGTGACCTTACAGACATCTTACAGGTGTGCAACAGCTCATTGGTTTGGTGCTTTTAAACTAGTAATTCCCAACTCATGCTCTGTCCTGGTAGAACACCTTAACAGCATATTCAGCTAGGAGTTTGGTAAGAAAAGCCAGCCCACAAATTTTGAGATTGGCAGATCTTTACTGTTACAGCTTTGGGAACTGCTATTACATCAGCCTAATACAGGCTTTATCATGCAAAACATGTTGTTCCCTAGATCTGCTTCAGACTCTACAGAGATCTGCTCGCAGGCCAAGGTCTAGCATGTCACTAGAGGTAACAGACCCCACAATCTGCAAGTTGCACTTTTCTGTATAATCGTAGAAGAAAGGTTTCATCTCCACCCTTAAAGCCAGGTAGAGTCTATCAGGTTAATTTGCAGAGGAGCAGATACAACCAAAAGACTTTACAACTTTAGTAGTGACCTCTGGCCAGCTCAGAACACGTATGGGGATTTACAACCTACATCACATCAGTGGCAATGATAAATGCCATAAAGTAACATCTTTAAATAAGTCAGGGTAGCCTTTTTTATACTGCTTGTATTAATCAAATCAGGGATCAATCTAAAGCCTAATCACCCAGCTTGAACTCACCTTGCTTTTAATCAAGATTTTTACTTCACCAGATTCTACAATGTAGAAACAATCTGCTTTATCACCCTGTGAAGAGGAAAAGGTAATTTTTTAGTTTACTAAAAAATCAAGGTACATCTAAATGGCATTAAAGCATTCACTCTGAACTAGGCCTTGAGAAATCTGCTAGAATTGACATTCAAATTCCTTCCATTAAAAGGTGACTGGTTAGGTTATATACAAGAGGGATCCACAGGGGAAGGAACTGTTGGTACATCATTCAGCAAGAGGGCAAGTGAAAAAGCAAAGGAGATTGATGATATAGAGCAAAATAAACGAAGTACAAAAATTCTGATCCTGATGGAAGTATCCAATAGCTAGTGAAACTAAACAGGGCTTGGAACTTCTAGACGAAAGTTTTAATAGAACACAATTTTGTGACTGCATTTCTAGATGTCAGAAGTAGGAACGACCCATTAAATTCAGTATGAGCTCAATTGATCTAGGGTAAAGTGCAGAAGAGTTCAGCAGAACCCAGAACAGCTGTATTTGAGAAGCATGAACATAAAAAGTAAGAGGAGGATAGTTTACAGAAAACCAAGTCCACAATGAAAGCTATCTACGTGAGGAATGACTCAATAGCTGCATAAAGGTAGCGAGAATGGTAAGGAATAAAGCACTCAATAGCATCATGCCATTAAAAGAAAATAAGCCACATAGTGCAAGAGGGAAAAAATAAAAATCTATAGCCATTTTATATCAGGTTCTACAAAGACATCACAAGGTGCCGTTGAGTAACTAAGTGTGAAACAAAAAAAAAATCTGTTTCAGTCAAATTCATCTGTTTCTATGAAAAATTCACTGTGATGGTGACTGAGCATTGGCACAGGTTGCCCAGAGAGGTTCTGAAGTCTCCATCCTTCAGGATATTCAAAAGCCACCTAGCCATGATCCTGGGCAGCTGGCTCTAGGTGACCCTGCTTGGGCAGGGGGGTTGGATAAGATGACCTCCAGAGGTCCCTGTCAACTTCAACCATTCTGTGATTCTTTAAGAGTTTCCAGAACCTTTTTTACATCCATCTAAACCACATCAGATTGCAGACCTTCAACATATCGTAATTTACAGCTCTGGAGAGCTTCACCAGGTCTTAATATTTTGAAAGTTTTAGCTGTGACAGAGAGCTCTGTCCCTGTGGGCTTGGTGTAGGACTGGAATTCAGAGTGGAGAGACAGCACATGCCTCCTGCTATGCATCAGAAGCAAAGGGACTAAAGGCTTCAGGAAGACAGAGGCTGTATAAGGAACTGATAAGGGAATGAGAGCAGCTCAGCAAAAAAAACCCCAAAACAGTGTGAGGAGAGAGATAAATGTGACATTAAGTCAAATAGACAAGGAGACTACAAGTATGATAGGAAGGATGGAGAGAGATGTTTACAGCTTGAGTATGAAAACATGCACTGGGAGAATCACAGAGAGGATGATACAAGGTTTAAACTTGTAGTTACGGTAGAAATTAGGCCTTTAGGTAAGCTTCCTGGGGACAGTTAATCATCCAGCACAAAACTCTTCCTTCAGTCTTGCCATCTATCACAACATGAACTAATACAGTCTGTACACTTCTGAAAAAGTGCTGAAAGAGTACTTATTTTTTAAAAGAATGAAACAAACTGAGTGGGAAAGATCCTCATAACACCAGCAGACACTAACAATTTTCAAGAGCTTTAAGGCATGCTGCTCTTAACTGAAGGGTCAAATTCCAGAGAGGTAATAAAAATGTAAAACTATCCACAAGAGAAAAGGCATTTGTGGCAACTGCTGTAATGTAAGAGCTATCACACCTTTTCCAAGCATAAAATGTCATCATCTTTGGAAGTGTATTATGATCACCCAGACCTATCCAAACTGTTAATCCTCCTTTTAAGGATAATTACATCCTCGTCCTTAATTCAGTTATTACATTATTATTATTGGATCACTGATTGTGTGGGTTCCCAGTTTTGGGACTGATTTATAAGCTTTGATTTTGTGTAGTTTGGTTTTCTCAGAGTCTTAAGCAACAAGATTTTCAATTTACAGAATTGAGGGTATTTTTGGAGAGAAACAATTTGGCACTACTTAGTTACCAGCAAACTAAGGTTTCCTGCATTCAGTTATTTGATATTCAAGGTATCTAAGATTAATTACTCAAGACATTATCAAGGAGTCATATTCTGTTTATAAAACAACATGACAGTTGTGATCAAAATCCTGCAATTTCAGGTAAGCCAAGGACCTTCTTGCATTAACTTCTACTTGAACTTTTGCAAGTTTTTTTGCAAGACTTTTTTTTGCAAGTTTTTTTTCACTTTTGCAAGGCAGCAACCCTGGTCTAAACTTCATGCAAAATTCAAGTGTTTCGTCAGTGACTGTGTTCCAAGAAGTTTTTTGTGTCGCAGTCAAAATAATCTTGCAGCTTTAGCTTAAGTTTGCTTCATGTTCCACCACTCTGACCTCAACCTATTGCAGCAAACAAACATACACCAAAAATCAAAGGCTGGCAATTGAAGCTAGACTACTGCACCATTGAACCAGTCTTTTTAAGAGCATCAGGAAAAACAGTGGGTTTAATTAACCCTGATAATTTCTTAGAAAAATTAACGTAGTTTGGTCCAACTAATGAAATATTCCAAATTACTTCAACAGGAGTATGATTTGGATAAAAGTAAATCAATTGTTTGGTTTTGTTGTTCAGTCAGACCTAGGAATTAGAGATGCCTTTACTACATGCTTGTGCCTCCTTGTTTAATCCGGTGCCTATGAAAAGTCTAGCTGGGGGCTTTCATGGAAAATTGCATAGACAAGACACTTAATTTCAGCTCCTTAAGACATACTCCCTCTTGAAACCTTGCAAACACCATTTATAAAAAAACCAAACAGATGAAAGAAGAAAAAACCCAGAAGCTAAAGTAATAGAATAAATTTGTAGCATAAGACATATTAGCTGTTCCACAAACACTGAAGAAGTGCAAGCACAAGTGCCAAGTTGATCCAAGTAATAGGAGTCTGTAAGTCAACTCCAAACTGAAAAAAAGAAGCAGAGAAAGGAGAATGATAAACAGAAATTTAAACATCAAGTACCTGAGAAATTATACGCTCCCCATCTTGATATACTTTCTCCCCTATAACATCCACTATCTTCATTCGCTCTGATGCCTGGAACAAAGAGGAAAATTAAACATAATCACCTATTCTAGTACATCTCTGGTAAACTTTGTAGCCCTCAGAGAGCCATTCGTTAGACACACAAGCATGCAGTATTTGGGTACTGAAAAATACAACTCCTACAATGACCATGTTGTGCTGCTCCTAAGCTTTCAAGACTACCATAATCAATAGGGAAATAAAATTGTCTATTGTCCCATTCGTGTTTTTCTTACCCCCAAAGTAAAAAAATAACTGAGTTGGCTGGTTTAGAGGGAAAAAAGATCCCTTCCTCTAAGCTTTAGTTGAAATTTGACTAAAACACCCAGAAAAATGTCATAAACTTCCTAAGAAAAAACTTCAATGAGAAACACCGGTATCACGTTTTCCAAATATTTTCATCACCATATATTTGAATATGTGGGGTGTTTTCCTGTCCCACAACTCATTTCTACACTGGAGAGAGGAAGGGGATATGAGAAGGATACCAGCTCTAAATTGTAAGCAGGCACTGCAACAGGATGCCCAGCAGCCAGGGTGAGCACTACTAATCTGACAGGCAGGGAAATATGCCTGTGTCTTAATCAACAGGAAGAGAGAAAGAATAGTTAAATTTATCTCCAGTGTTTGCCAATGCCCACCTAGAACACCACAAAACAATTTTGTTGATTCAGAGCAGTGTAAAAAACACATTAAGAAAGGAAGAAAATCCTACAGTTAAAATGAGTCTCTGAACAGATGATTCAGTTGTAATCCATTCGTTCCACAAATGCACCTCAATCTAGCCCATGTTTGAGAAACTTAATTCTGATCCATGCGTGATTCAACTGCAATGTGTCATGCAAAAAGCCATCCAGTGCTAATGAGTTATTTTTCTCTGTCTTTAAATATTTATGAGTCATTTTTTTGCTCAAAAAAAGTCACATTGATGGAACTAGTTTAAGCCAAGCACTGGGAGAAGCTGTTGTGCAATTTACCCTTTCCACAGCTACCAACATATGTCCAAAATGATACATATTACAGGTTGGTATTCACAGCTTTGCAATACTTTGCAATTTTGTAATCTTCTCTCAAAGGGAGAAGATAAAAAGCTCTTCTCAAATCCTAAAGATGAATGCTGAGAAATGTTCTTATGAGAAAACAAAGAAAAGCTAAGTTATGGTGTAGGGCAAAGACAAGCACATACTAATTGCAAAGCAGTTTGGTAAGTCTCCAAAAGCCCTCTGAAGATACAGGCTGAATCAATAGCTTAGAAGTAATAATTTGCACATTGATCCTAAAGTCATGGACCACGCACATCAGCATGACATCTGCCATTTTATTCCCAGGTAATAGTGCCTCTCTTTGGTCTATTCTTAGCTTACTCCTTGAATACCAGTTAAGGTTAAAGCAGAACCTACCACGGCCATGGCCTACATCTTTGTCTCAAATTTAAAATCATTCATGGCTGATAAAAGGCCAAATATCCCACTGATGGTATCATTACTTCAATATCACACCCTCAAAGGAAACCACAGCCCTGAGTTTCAATTTTCACTTTAAAACCTGTTCTCTAACATACTTGTAGATGGGATTTTTTTGTGAGTATCTTTTCTGATTTTTAAAAAATCATTATACAGATTGAGATAAAAAAAAAAAAAAATCAGCAAATTGTGAATAAAGGCTGTGGAAAAAAAAACCCTGAACAACCAAACAGCATACAGCTTCAGCAATGCAAATTAAGTTGTATGGTAAACGTGACACCAAAGCAGCTCTTAAAATTTTATTCTAAGCAAGAATAACACAGGTTGCTGATACAGTAGAAAGACTATGGAGCTAGTGCAAGAATCTGATGCAGATCTCTCTGAGAGAATTTACCTCCAAGGATTTAAGAAGGGGCACAGATTCAATAAATGATTCATATGTCTTCCTCTTCTTTGCATTGTTTTTCAATATAATTCTTCTGAATGTCACTCGATCCTGTAAGAAACAGCACAGAAAAGAACATTATTCCTCTTTACTAAAATGCTCCCTGTTTAAAGAACTGACAAACATGAACTAGTATTTGCAACAAACACTGGGTTTGAGAAGCCAGCTGTTCAAATGATACCATATCCATCACGACTGTGATTGTAACAGCTCTTGTGAGAGAACCCATGGCAATAATAAATTGAAAAACGGGGAGCTGTAAGACCTGGTCCTTCTCAGATAAGCATTAAAGAACTCTATTGTTAGTTTATTTTGCACTGTTTTTCATGTTTGAGTTTTTGGGCTTTGTTTGGCTGGTTGCTAATGTATCTTTCATGCTTCCACGAACAACAAAGAGGTTATGTTCTTCTTGTTGAACCCTTTGGAAGATGGAATTTCCACCGCTTATTTGTTCAACTCCTGCAGGACTAAATCTGCTTTGGATTCTCCCCTATTCGACTTCCAGATTTCAGAAGTTAGATTTATAGTAGTCTAAAATAGATTAGGGACAGAATATCAAACATCAACAGGTTTGATTCACTCCTAAACCTTCTAGAACCTGAAAGGGAGCTCTTTGCAATGACTTCTTCCAAATCACTGGTACCATAAGCACCTTTCTGATGGAAAAATTGTTCGGTTAGGTTTTGAAGCCCAAATATGGGGCAAGGTTGCTCCCACCCCACCTGCACGGGTCTTCTGGTAGGAGGCAGCGTCCCGAGGTGCTGTGCCGGTTCCGCGGCCACCGGGCGGCAGCCGACGGCCACCGGGCGGCACTCCCTCCCTCCCTCCACGGCCACCGGGCGGCACTCATTCACTTCGTCACCCTGTGGCCACCGGGCGGCACTCCAGCGCTCCCTCCCTCCGGCGGAGCTCGCCCGGTACCGGCCCCGGCAGACATGTTGGGGGTTCACTGTCAGGCCCGAAGGGAACGCGTTTTATTTCCACGCAGGAAGCCAGGCTCAGCTCCCGGCAAGGCCCGAGGAAAGCCGCGAGAGAGCTGGGACCGACCCGCACCGCCAAGGGGAGGGCAGGGGCTCTTCCCAACAGGTGTTTTTGGCAGCGTTTTCATGACAATAGCCCCCTTGGTCCCTGTCAGCACTGAACTATGAATAGAGTGAGGGTTGCAGAGTTTACCTTACACAGGGTGAGGCTCTAAGCGTAAAAATCAAACCCAAAAAGTCAGAGAAAAGGAGCAGAAATTTGTTTAGGAAAAACAAAACAATGCAAAATTTTACATTTATATATAAACCTCTGAAGTGCTGAGAGCCAGTCCTCCAGCTCTCATTTTCTGAAAACATCAGCTGATACCCTAGCAAAGACATTGTGATGTGAAGAGGTACTGTCAAGTAAGTGAACAGTTCTGTGGGATGGAGGCTGCAAATATTTGTAACTTGAAACACAGGTGACACTAGTGGAATATAAAAGCTGAAGGAGGTGAAAGATGAAGGTAAGAATGGTACTGCTGTTATCCAAAGGAGAAGAAGAGATGATAAAGCATGAGGGATTTGGGTGGGTTGGTTGGTTAGGGGTGGGTATTTTTAAAGAAATTCTTCAGTGACAGAAGTCTCTTCAAATGTATGTTTGGAGAAGCAGAAGGGTACAGAAACATGGGAATTGCAAAAGCAGAAAAAATTCAGAATTCATTTGTTTGAGAGTACCAATGAGGGAGGAGAAGCAGCAGCAGTATTTGAACAATAAAAGGCAAAGCAGTGAAGGAAGAGTGCGTGATTGTGAGGTTTTCCCCAGACACATTAGGTAGCAAAAGCTGAGGACATTTCTCTGCTCCAGAAGAGACCCACATTTGATAACTGCTTTGTGCCTGAGCCTTCCAGGCTTTTGTTGGCCTGAGTCTGCAATGCAGCAGGAGTAATTTACATTTCCTAAATGGCTGATAACCTGTAAGCTTTATCAATAACTTCTGCAGACTACAAAAAAAAATGTTTAAATTACATCAGGCACAAAACAGTACAACAAAACATGGCAACAACAGAATAACTGGAAGAAGCAACCTAAGTTTTAGACAGAAAAACGTAGCCTTAGTTAACAAAATATCCACAGGACAAAAGACTAACAAGATGTCCCCTTCAGCTACACCGTGCTAATTAAGTGAATGTAATCACAGAAAACCCCAAAATTAACTCAATTCATGCTGTCCTCTTCAAAGGCAAACTGGAATGAAGAATCATCTTCTCATTTTCTTCTTTTACAAATGAGCTCACTTTGTGGGTAGCTGCTTTGTTCTGTCTTCTTCAGGAAATACGATTCTAACGTTACTCCCTGGTTGATTTAACAAAATCTTTTCTTTCAGCTCACAAAGAAAAGGGAAGTCAGAAGTCAGTTCTCAGCAAGCACAGGGATTGCATAAGCACGAGGTGTGTAGCTGCTTATCAGGCCTATAATCAAGGTCACAACACACGGTCAAGCCCCAGTGATAGTTGCCGAGGAGCCCGGCACACACAGAAAGCACACAACGCTTCTGGCTTCAAAGGCCTCGTTGATGGCACAATCCCCTCATTATGTGAGCCCTCACAGATGAGTACAAGAGCACTGTGAAAATAACCCTACCCAAATAGTGCAGAGAAAAGAACTAAAAAAGGAAACCAAGTCTACAGCTTCACATTCAACAGAGCTGGGCTAGACAAAGCAACACTGTCATTTAGCTTGGTATCTCCTAGGTCATGCTGACCGGAGAATGTCTTCCAGGGTAACACAAAGGAACCAGAAACATCATGACAGTTTATTTTGAAGGAAAACAAAGCTTTGGGCGGTTTTTCTAGCTCTTCAAATTACTGACATCCTCAAGAAGATATTTAACGCTTTCACATTCCCCTTAAAGCAGACAAAATGTTAGGAAGGTGAGTTGAAAATAATGTCATTTGGATATTGTTTCCCCCTCCCATAAAATATGTGCATTAATGGCTCCACTCTCCTCTGCAGGATGAAAACAAAACCTGGGTATTTGTTTCCCCAAACAAAACCCAGAATTACAGCAAATGCAAAATAATAAAGGGACAGATAAAACTGGCCAAAAAGATTTGGACAATGGATGTCTTACGCCAGAAGGCGAGATCACAGATCATGATAAAACAACTATTAGCACATGAAGCCATACCCAGAGAAGCACTGGAGAGCTAGTGTTTATGCTTATGAGAGAAACTTCCTTTCCTTACCAGTCCCCAGAGGGCTCCTTCTGTTGTGGCAACAATGGTGGCAGCTCTAGGAGTGTTGTACATCAACGCCAGTTCCCCAAAACTGCCGTGATTCTCATAGCGGCCCACGCAGCGTGACTGGTTGTCTTTTGCTACAAGAATATCATACAGTCCCCTGGAAAACAATGGTACAGATGCTTTTTATTAGACAACATCCAGTATGAATCATGAAATCAGCTTTTTGCTGTTATCAAAATAGTCCTCTGACTGCTGGGTGAAATGGAACTGGCCTAAGAGACTTCACAAAATACATCATGCCCTGGAGAAAAGCAGATAGGGAGTGCCTTCCTGACTTTAAGCAGCTGGGCATGCATATAATTTTCCCCAGTTTACAACTTTGTCAGATGGAATGCTGTTTGCTCCCAAAATATCAGTAGGCATGTAAGGGGGGAAATAAAAAAAAATTTTTTTAAAAAAAAAAAAAATCAGAAATGGCAGTAGGTGAAGCTTTTCAGTGTAAGCAAATATGGGAACGAACTCACTGATGAGACCTGCCTGATATTAACAGCAGAGGATCTTTCAGGATTGCTGATGGACAGCCCTAGTTTTGTTAGTTATCTTCAAATACTACTGCATCTTAAAAGAAAAGTACTACAGGACAGCTTTATGCCAGCTTCATTTGTAGGAGATTCCACACAGTGGACATTGCATACATCAAACAATTAAAATACATCAAAGTGAGGAAGTTTTGAATGATGACTTGAGGACCTACTCGAGCCTTTCAGACTCAGAGAAACGTTTGTCTACTGAAGAGTAGATGGTCCAGATTTAGACATGTCAGAACATCTGAGATTTAGTCTCTCCTTGTCACTCAGAAAGCTAAAGGAGGAAGCTGAGTGCATAGAGACTGCCTAACATCCTTACCAGGCGCTTTTCACACTCTACTGCTCACTCACACCTAGGAGAAAAAGAAAGAAACCAACAGCATTCTAACAAAAAAATAAATAAGGATTAACCATTGGAAAGTTCCACTAATTCTTGCAATGTCTCTTTAATGATTCTCTGAGAGGCAACAGAGGCAACAATCTTCAGAGGTTTTTCTGATATAGAATGGGCACCTGTGAGCACCTTAAGCAAACGCTGCAACTTCTTCCCATTCCTCAGCCTCAAAGTCACTTACTAGTGCCATTTATTTCCGAGTAACTATAGCCACATAACCTTCAGCCAAGCACTTGGCTGTTTGTGGCCCAAGGACTAAATCGGTGAGTCACCACTGGGTGACCTTGACTCAGCTTTGTTGAGAAAACTGTTGCTGAGCCGTGACACAGTCCGTGAGCTAAAGCCCTGCAAGATAAGAAGACTAAAAACACAGCCCGAAGTGTAATTGTTGAGAAGGTGATCGTTACAAGCTCAAGGACTCGGACAGAAAATACTGATGTGAAAAAAAATAAAACCCCAAGGTAAAAAAAAAAAAAGGCAGAAAAGGGCAACTCAGCAAGACTGTGGATCAGTCTGTTCCAAGAGGCAACCAAGGCCAGTGCTGCCCCTCCTGATGACTGCTCAACCAGCAGAGGTGTCTCCTCAGCAGTGATGAGCAGACTCGTGTTTGGCCATGCAGCACACCTGTCCTAGCTCTCCCTTCCATGCACAAAGCACTAAGTAGCTGCTGCATCCTGAAGTAACATCTGTCCTGCCTGCTGTCCCTCTGTGCACGGTAAAAGATGCTCAGAAAGAAGTGATCTGCTGAGGAAGGCTTACAACCAGAAGACTTTTGGGGGGGTGGGGGGAAGGCCTGTGCCAGAAAGCCTGTTTTTCTATGCAGATAAGAAGCTAGAGTTACATCTGCAACGCAAAGTCACTGTTCATTCAGCTGGGGAGAAACTAATCCTCAAGGATATTTAGGCATTAATGACTTACAGTAACAAGACATGCCTACTGATGCCTTGAAAAAGCCAGTCCTCTAAATCTGCACCCGCTGGCAAATGGAAATACTATAGCTTTCCAAAAGTACCAGCATCCTGTTGTTATTTTGCATGAAAAAAAATGAAGGGTTGGGAGGTAGAGGAGGACGGGAAAGGGAGAGAGTAGGACAGAAAATTCATAACTGTAGAATTCTAATAACTGAATAGCCAACACAAGGGTTGCAGCCAAGTTGGTGTTTACAGCAAAGGGTAGTGTGCTCTCCATTGCTAGACAACACTGAGTTTTATTTCCCTCACTCTATAGCCTTTCTGCCACATACTTTTGGCAACATATTGATGTTACTGGCGTATTATAACCTAAGGGTAGAACAAACAAACCAACCAAAAAAACAAAAAAAAAAAAAAAAAAACCAAAAAAAAACCAACAAACAAACAAACAAACAAACAAACAAAAAAAAAAAAAACCACACTTAAAAACCTGAAAACTTCCAGCCTCTTGATAGCAAAAAATGTTGTGGAATAGCATTACATCTGTAGAACACAGACCATAAAAACATTTACCCAAATATCAAAGACAGGGTCCCATTTCACTTATTTATTTTAGGTTTAAACTCATAGCAGGAAGAGATTTTTAGTAACCAACAGGTCAAGAGCCTTACAGAGGAACAAATCAAAATAGGCTGATAGTATCTAACATTTTTGAAAAGCACCCAAACTAAGTTTTCTCAAGATTAGGAACCACTGCTCTGCATACTTCTCATCTTTGCAGAGCTGGTGGCTTTAGCTCCTGTGATCTCTCATCTGCAGTACCTTACTCTTATCAGGGACAGCCTGATCTCCCCAGTGAACATAGCAAGAGAAGGAACTTTTCCTGTCTATTCAAAGGATTAGTCTGAGGCAGAGCAGTTGAAGGAGACAACCGAGTAGAAATGGAGCACTGGTTTAGACTAATGGGATGATATGGCAGAGGACAGGGGAACAGGCCTATGGTCAGAATGCTTCTGAGGTAGCCTTATGTTCTGTAATTACACTCAACAGAAAGGGGAATGTCCTTCAAATAAACAACAATCACTTAAAATGAACAATTTCTAGCCTAGAAATTCTTTTGCAAATTCCTTATACAACAGATAAATGACAATTCAAAAGGCAACACATTGTCTTGAGAAACTGCTTTGAAAACATTTAATACAACACTAATGATGTGATTATTTCAGCAATAAGAAAGATAACAGTGCCTCAAAAACAACAGTTTGCAAAGATCATGTTCCAACAGACATTCATAATTCAGCCAGGAATATTCTGTTTAGTATTATAGTTTTACAGGAGGAAATCAATCTGTCCTTAATTCTTCTTCAAATATGGTGATTAAAAGTAACATTAGCCAGAATTTCTTCCAAAAGGGTAAAAGGTACTCAAAATGTGCATGCACACACGTCTATTTCATGCCTGTTGCACATACAGGTGATTCACAAAATTATCACATGAATTTGCTTTAGGCCAGAAATTGCAAAATGTCACCTTAAACTCTACAAATACAAATTAACCAACAGAAGCAAAGCAACCACAAGTCTCTCTGAAATCAATGATCAAAACTAATTGGACCAAGTCCATTTTTTCCATGCTAGCCACCATCATGAACTTTTATCTCCTGTATTCTCCTCCCCCAAAATAATTTCCTATCCCTTCCCTTACCCACATAGTTTCTTTTGCTGCTTTTCCCTCTGCTTTCTTCAAAAAATAATGTATCCTGGTCTAGAGACAGCATGCAGTATGGCTGGCTTTAAGCTACCCATATGCTGATGGGCACAAAAGCTAAACTGAACAAATCATAGGCAAGCTCCTGCTGCAGCCCTTTCCTCAGAGAAAGCAGTATTTGAGTTTTTATGGAGTCACACAGAACATGTTGAAACCCAGCAGGTTTGAAATGACCTGTGCAAATGATCCAAAAGACAATGGAGGCCTAAAGGGGAAAATGGAAAGACCAAAGGAAGAGGCAATGGCTGCAAAAAAGTCAGTTTCCTTCAGAAACTCTCCTGCAGTAAGTGCCCCCCGTCATTTCTAAGAAACTGACAAGAAGCATACTCTACTTGTGAGAGGCACAGCTGCTTACCGCTCAACCACATAGAAGTTGTCCCCATCATCTCCTTGGTCAATCACATGCTCCTGAGGTTTCACCTTCCTCTCAAACATGGCATCAAGGACCTGAGACAGCTGCTCCTACAAAACGAAGAGGAGAGAAAAAGAACATCAAAAAACCTCTTGGAAAACACACCTTAGTGCTAGCCAAGGGTGAGTTCACTAGACTTGATCTGTGTACTGAAGTGCAACGTGCGTCGCATCATTTTTACTGTACGTCAACACAAGGAACGCTGATATTAAATGTTGATTTCCACTAGCACCTCCCTTGAGCAGAGCAGCAGCAAGCTCTCGCTCGGTATAACCCGACACAGCTTCACTGCAATGGACACGTGCTGATTTGTGTCAACAGCACATATATTTAGTTATCATAGGATCATAGAATACTTTGGGTTGGAAGGTCATCTAGTCCAATGCCCCTGCAATAAGCAGGGACATCTTCAGCTAGATCAGGTTGTTCAAATGTATGTCTAGAAACTGCACCACAACTTATTAGTAACTTATTTGTACAGTCACCATCTAAGAGCCCCAGTCCAGTCAGGATCAGGACTGTGCTGAACAAGGCCCTGTACAAACAGTTACTTCCCTAGATAGTCCATGCTGTAGAGAGCCTGCAAGTCCAGCACAAGATGAGACCAGATAGGTACAGCTGGGGAGCACATACAGAACGTGCTGCTCTGAACAGCAGACTCAAGCTGGGTTTCTCTGATGATCCATGACTAAACTTTTTTTTTTGTAGGCAGCACAGCCAGGGAAGCTGTGAAAGCTGAAAAATAATGCCATATAAATGCCTCGTCTCAATGCTGAGATGCTTTACCACCTCTGTTATTCCAAAGCCCATTAACAATAGACTTTCACTGCATTTCCAATGACCAGATGTTCAAAGTTAAAGATGTAGATCACAGCTGAGTTTCTAAAAATATACTACATGAACGCACATACTCATCTTTATGCTGCTAGGTATACTTGAAATATTTACTGTGCTTCTTAAGCTGGGAATAATCATTGCAGCATCTGCAGGCACCACGATATTGAAAATATTGCCTACTTTTTCAACAGAATCTTGTCTTTAAAAACTCTCCTGATATTTAAACTAAACAACCATTTCATGAAAGCCATTTATTTCAACCACATATTTCACACCATGCTTTTAAGTAAGAGTTATCAGAAAATAAACATGGCAGAGTTTTAAAAGCTTTTAAAAATACTGTAACCCAATAATGCTTTATTTGGATGATAAACAGGCAAAAACTTATTTTAAGTAAATAAAACACTGTGCTCTTCTGTCACTAAAAGGACAAGCTTCATGAGATTTCTGAACTTAAAAAACCCTCTTGGTTTAAATATGGGTACTGAGGATGTTCAGGGGCCTTGCTACTAAGTCATTGCTCTCACCCAGTGCAAAATTCAGTTGTAACTAGGATTCTAAAAACTCTTTTATTTTTAAAACTCTGGGGCCCCTACGCATGATACATCATACAGAGCTTTAACAGGAGAGCAGTTACCTAACTCCCTCAGCACTTCATATTGAAACATAAATCATGCTTATTATTGGGGATGGCCCAAAATCTCAGGATTAAATTTTATAACAATTAATTTTAGTTCAAAGTTCAGTGTGAACTTTGCTAGAAGTGACCCACCTGACACTGGCTCCTTGGTGTTGGATAGCAAATATGACAGCAACTGTTCATGCAAGTGAAGACATTTAAAAAGGCTGTTGAGTCACTGGGCCTAAATTCAGCACAGTTTACCTAAATGCAACCAGTGGAAAAGGGATGGATTTGCCCTGGACATTTGAATCACACAATCATGTATACTCTTGAAGGGGTTTTATGCAGTTTTGTTGACGCTGTGTTTGTTTGCTTGTATTTTTAACATGACACTTGTTAGAAGTTAAGAAGCAAAATAACATATTTTGAACCTTAATTTGGAAGCGTTCCTCACAATTATTGAAGGATAATATACGCTGAGCAAAAGCAGCAGCCATGTGTTCTGCCTTTCAGTGGGTATTCTACTGCAAATCCTCCAACCCAGTCACATTAAACAGAGAGAGTTAAATTACTGGGACGAGAGGTGAAAGAATGCAAGTTCCATACTCTCTTCATGCCCATTACTAGGAAGGCTCTCCCTTCTCAGCTAAATGCCCTTTATCATGCTATAATCAATATATGGACTGCAGTCACCTTTTTCAGCCATGTGCTATCTTAAAAGCCTGAAACTTTAACACTTGCACTTAAGATCATTTCCATTATTTCTCTCCTCAGCTGCTTTGAAAGCTTTTCCCAGGAAGCAGTATTTTTCCAAGCCCACTTTCTCAGCTCAAATTTGTTTTTCAAAGTCATCTTTGAATTTAAATTGATTAATTTTTGCTTCTGGGTATGTTGGAAGCAAAAAGATTGGCCTGCTCGGTTCAAAAGGGGATCACATTTTGTACATACCACTTGAGCTGCTGAATGCTCTTACATATGTTTTAGTTTTTACTGTACCTAATCAGGTTACTTGTAAAAGGAACCTTTAAAATGTTTTACATAAATAGGCTTAATGACAAGAGGGATCCCTGAACAGTGAAAGGCCAGTCCTGGAAAGGACAGCTTTCAAGAAAATTTTGACAGAACGTCAATTCCTCTAGCCTGCTGCAATCAAAAGCTTCCAACAACTATTTTGAGAATGCACTTCAATGACTCTTGGGGTTTGTACAGTAAGCAAGAACTGGGAAAACTTCCTAGTTTTCAAGAAAAGCTGAGCAGTGCTTCTGAAACCATGAGCTATCACATCCATCCTTTCATATGTTGGGCAAAGCTCAATGATTCAAAGCAGGAAGCTGCAGGGACCATCACTGGTGTTACAGCTTTCATTCTTCCACAGGTTATAGCAGAGGTGTCCGCTGTGTTTTCATGGAAACACCAGACTAGAGATGCATTTATTCTATGGCCTCTGAGAGGCTGGATTAGAGGTTCTCCAAAGGTCAGTTCCTGAACTATCCTATGATCCTCTTTAAAAGAAAAAGATAATACCACTTAGGATTACTATGTGTGAACAATGGAGATACTCATCGTTCAAAATCAATACTAAGGCAGTAAGTAATTAAAAAATAACTTCATCAACAAAATGAGTAAGAATAAGAACAACCTAAAAATATTATTTCACATTCATTTACAGAAAATATACTGACAGATTGGCATTTAAGAAAAAGGTGCAGCAGTAGGAAATCATGAAAACAGACAATTGTGATATTGAACACTGCCTAAGTAATTTCCTTTTTAAATTGCCTATAAATTATGAACTGTTCCTCAGGGAAAAGGAAATCAGGTGCAATTACACCCAACAGCAAATATTAAGAGCATAAGCAAAAATATTTTAAAAAAATAACACAACTTTACCAGAAAAAGAATTTGCAGGGAGCAGGATCTGACAACCAGAGTATCTGACAATTTGACGTGTTTGCTTATATTGTTCTTTACTGTTGATCTCCCAATACACATCCTAATCCAGCCTGCATATAATTAATAATTCATAAATAATTACAATGCAAACAAGTATCTGGACTGTTAAATCATGCCATTAACTCCAGTTAAGATTTCCTTAAAATGGTATTACCTGATCTAGGTTTTTGAAGAGCAGGATATCTCTACAGGCTTCCTGCAGTCTACATCGCTGTTCATCAGTTTTTGGATGAACTACCTTTAACATAAAGTAAAACAATACTGTTATCACAACAAAGAAATATGATTACAGAGTGAATCTTCACTTCGGAAGGAAAAAGAAAAACACAGTTTAAAAGTGTCAAAAATACACAGTTCTTCCTTTTTGTTTGCATAAGCAATATTTATATATAAACATACATTGCAAGACAGAATAAAAGAGATGTAAGAAATATATTATGCTGACAATTAACACATGTAAAACAACAGTTAAGCAAGTCAAGAGAGAAGAGAAATACCTTTTTCTTTCCCTTCCCTTGTAACCTAGCCACAGATACCGTCAAGGCTTGAGCATTTGGAACAGAGGAAAAAGTCAACAGTTCTTTCTACACTCTGGCTACATTAGTTCCAATATACTTACTGCTGGCATAGAGGTAGTTTATAAGATTCATGATACATATGTACCTAATAATAGAAGTTATCTAAGAAGCATTTGTTTTCAACAAAATTATTTGGATAAAAAAGTTTTGTTGTTTGAGAGATTTTTCACGTTACTTCCTTCCAATTATAAATATCTCATCAGGTTAAAGGAATGAACACTCAATGTGTCATAAAAATGTATGTGCCTGTTGGGGGACAATTATGAAAACATAAAAATATTAATTACCTCACTCACGTTCGCCACATTACCCTTATTTCTGGAATAACAAGGATTCAAAAAAACAGTTACATTAGCAGGCATTTCTAGAAATTCATTGTTCAAAACTGAGCACATCTCAGATCCTTGTTTTAAAAGGCAATTTAATATCGAATCATCAGTCAGGAAAATGAAGACTTTGGATGGAACATGTCCAGATTTGTAAACAAGTGGATGATCGGACAGTCTTTTTTTCTTTTTATAGCATCTTATTTATGAAGCATCTGTTTTTTTTAAGAGAAATCAAATTAGACTTAAGATTTTCATGGCAGAAGTGTATGCACCCTTGAGATGGAATCTGGAAACGGAAAAGCAGAAGTCCAGAGAGAAAACACTGATCCTTCACCAGCCAGGCTACAGGATTTGCTCACATAAAAATATCTCCAAAGGAATACAATTACATGATCTGGACCTGCAATTCCTAGAAATTTCCAGCTTTCAAAAACAATAGAACAACAGGTGGCCACAGCCTCAGAATATTTCAACAAAGTATTTCTCCTACCCAGGCAGAAGTGCTTTGACAAGAAAGGCAGCAAAAAGCATGTGAGGAATTTTAAGCACCCATGAAGAAACAGCTGTGGTAAAGCTTAACTAATTCTTCACAACAGCATGGACGCTCTAGGAATTGCCTCAACAAGCCTTTAAGATAATTAAGAAAGGAAAATATCAAAAAATTTAAAGATGGCAGACTTAAGCACAGCTCTCAGGTCCTTTGAAGTGAAATTATATTAAAGCTATAGTGACTAAAAGAGTGGATGAGACAAAGCAACCCTAAATTTCAGAGCAGTGTCACACTGTCAATGTCAGCATACCACAGCCTCTCAGAAGGAAAGGCACAAGTGGTAGGGAAAAGGTGACATAGAGACATCTGCCTGTCAGGCTGTAGAGACCCAGGCATGATGCAATTCACTCATTCTTACCCTTTGTTCTGTATCTTCTTCCTCTTCATCTGGATTGAAAGCTTCAGCACAAACTTGGAAAAGAAAAAGAGAGGAAGTCAGTAAAAAGCAGTTACATGAGAACATCAAACATATCGAATTTAAATTCCTTTCTTCTATATTTTATTTTCCTACAGGAAAAACAAAATCACTTTTGGTTTTATGTCATTACAGTGTTAAGAGGCTTAAATCCTGTCTATTCTCTGAGCAGGCACAGAGTGGCTGTTCTCAAACTCCCCCGTAAAAAAATCTGCAACTTGCAATAGAAAATAATCTTGCCTAGCAAGTACTCCAAACCATGCATGAAGATTCCCTTTCCAGCCTTATCGAAGCATAACAATCTCCACTTAGATTCATTTACAAATATCTTCCATAAATGCAGGGGAGGGAATACTGCTGCTATATTGCTTTGTTCCTTGGCAGTGCAATGTATATTGCAAAAGACATCAAAAATAAGAGCATAAGAAGGTATGTGGCACTCATTACATCTCAAGTCAGACTTATATCTGTATTGGGGAAAAAAAATCAAGATACATTTACACAGAAACTAACCTGGGAAATGATCAATTAGCTTCACCATAGTATATTCTATGACAAAAAATAATGTTTAGCACCCTCCTCTATATACTCCTTTATTCTACTACATTTGAATCAAATTAATGTCAAGTTGTGATATAAAACCAACTTTAAAAAATACACAGTGATTGATTTTTTTTTTTAAAGTATGAGAATATTTGTGGAAACCATACGCTGTGATGCACAGGAACAAGGCTCTGCCAAACATCATTAAAATTACAGGATCAGTTGTAAGAAAGGCAATGATGAAGGCAAACTTCTAAAATTTCAAACCGTTTTGGGTCAATTGTAAGACTTCAGAAAAGGCTTATCTTAACAGTTATGCTGTTACGCAATTTTACAACACCAAACACAAGCCACCTTTGGCTGCCAAAGCCTACATCTCTAGCTCAGACTTTCTTATCAATTTGTGAACATTTGCAGTTCTTAATGTCAAAGTGAACTCTACATTCTAACTGTACAGTCAGCAAAAGTAAGAGTCAGTCCTGTTTTCATCTAGCTCTGCTCTTAATTTAATAAGGGTGGACTTACTTCTGAGGCTATACGTTACTTGTAAAATTTTACAAGGAAACACAGACAAGCATTTTTCTTTGTACTTTATCCAGCATCCTGACAATACTGAAGAGTTGGCAGAATGCCCAGAAGCTCACTGCAGTGACATCTAACTGCTGAATGGACTTACAAAGTATAAATAAAAATACGCAGGATTTTATAAAAATAAAAAAAAAAATCTCTCTAGAAGGCCTAGCATTTGGCAACTTGCAAATGATTTGAAAAGCATAAAGAGCTATTGACCTCATCATCGTGCTTTCAAAAAGACTAAGAAAATGCACAAGTCCAGCAGAATTTGCTAGGAAAAGACTTGCTTCTTTTTACCTGCCTAAAAGGTACAGGTCTTTCCTAGAAAATGAGATTTTAATAGATTTTTTTTTTTTCCTGGAAAGGTTGGAAATTGGAATTCAAGACAAGCATTCTATTTATCAAACCACAATGTAAAAACCCAGTAGTGTGATCATTAGGCATCTACAGAGCAGCTATTGCTCAGACAATAACAAGTGTCACGCCGCCTCTGGTGGTTTGCACCATTTAACAATATAGAAAAGGTGTATTAACAGTGCACCTACAGCACACACGGGCTTTCAGCTTGACAGAATGGCCCACCTACATTTAGGGCAGATACTTTTCAAAGGATAAACAGCATTTTTCTTTAGGTAAAAAAAAAAAAAAAAAAAAGAGTCCACCACACAGCCCAAAGATGATTGTATGATGGGAAGGTAGATCCTACAAAGCTGCAGAACGTGGACTGATAGGCAAAGAGCCACTTAATACACAATCCAAAGGCACTAACAAAGGGAATGGTATCAGCATTTCGGTGTGAAAGCTTTCTTCTGCCTTCCCTTTACAGTAAGGATCAAAGTCTATTGTGAAAGCTTTGGATTTTCTAATCAGAACATTTTCTTAGAAGAAAGGCTCCTTGGTTTAAATGGTGAAATAGGAAATGAAAAGTATCTCTATTCTTCACAACTAGCATATCATATCAGTAACTAGAGTTCAATTCTTTATTCTGCACTATAGCACATATTATAAATGTTCTTCTGTACGTGTCTGAAAGTACCTGGCATATAAGCACATTCAGGCTGTGTATCTATGATTTCAGAGGTCACTGTACTTCACTATACCATTCTAGCGTTTAAATTCTAAATATTAGAGATTGCTGCAAATTAGATTTTTGTTCCCATCTCAACTGCAGGGAAACTATTGCTAAGAATATGTTTTGAAATTGAGAAAATTCTCTTCAAGATTTCCTTGGGAAAGTAAGTTTAATTGCCATGGCTAAGACGATAGTATTAGAGTAAAAACCTTACTGTAAAACATGCAGCAACCAAAACAACACAGTTCTCTGCAACTTTAGTATCAAACAGCTTTGGCTGGGATTTCTACATGTAAGTCTCCTCTGTTTCATCTTACCCAGCATGGGTGAAAGCAGCTTCATAAAGCCCTCTAAGGATACAGGCTAGGACTTAGTGCCCTTCCCTTACATATGGAAATCACTGCTGTAGTGCTCATGAATGGGCACCACAGAAATACAACAAAAATGGGGCAAAAACACTACTTCTTCCCATGCTGTCACAGAGGAAGCTTTCCCACTATACTTTTCATTCCACAACCTCCTGCTGGGATTTCTTTTTTCATGCAGAAGTGGTAGGACAGAGATTGTGGACTTAACTGACAGCTCTGATCGACAGGACTTTATTTACTTGCAGGCAGAGCTGTAACACTTAATGTAACACATCTGCTGTGGGATGGTTAAAAAAAAAAGGGGAGAGAGACAAAAATGATTAATTCTGACCTCAAGCTTAAATTAATATTGTGATATGCTGGAAAGCCCACAGAAAGCTTTTCAGCCTACTCGTGTTATAACAGCCAACAGCATTTTCCAAATATTTTAAAACATGACTAATGCACAGAAAAGGCGAACATCACGTCAGCACCATCCTGTGGTTTACGGTGCGACACGTCCAATTTTTCCTTCCACTATTTTTAATTGGTAAGTTACTTATGGAAGTCCATGCTGGTGAACATGTTACCAGTTAAGGTGTGTGTGTCAGTCTTGCCTTCAGTATGTTTCACATTATCTGTGCTAAAACAGTGTTGCTTCTCTGTTCTTATGACTGAGAAGAACCCACATAACTACCCTAAACTCTGTCAAGCCCTGTCAGAAATCTATGGAAAGTTGATTTCAGGACTCCTGAAGGAAGGTTACTCATTTGCAAGTTACAGTACAGCCAGTCCCAGTGAAAATCCATTTGATGTTTCAAAGTGATGGAGTGAAAACATACTTGCCCCACAGCTTTACACATGACTGAATTAAAATTTTAACTATTTCAGTATTTCAGTAAAACAGGTACTTCAAGGCAACTTATTCTCACAATGTTATCCTGAAGAAATAAATGTGTTGGTAGCATCTTTTCAGATTCATTGAAATGGCCGTTGAAAGGGATCTCTCTCTGAAGGTCATTCAGTTCAACCTACCCCTTAAAGGGGAGCTATCTGCAATGCTAAATGGGGTCTGACTTGGAAACCTCCCTGGGGGAAGACTGCACATCTCTGGCTAACCTGCTCCACAGCTGCACTATCCTCCTGGAGAAGGAGTTTTTCTTAATGTCCAAACTGAACTGCAATATCCTCCTGGAGAAGGAGTTTTTCTTAATGTCCAAACTAAAGCTCACAAATACCTTGATATAATTTGAAGTGACTTCTGAAGTCACGCCTTCCCTATGTGAGATTTTCAGCACAACTCTGCCCTCGAGCAAACACTAAGCATGACTACATCAGTGAAAGTTATGTACAAGTGTGACACACACCCTAATTAAGTATTTCCAAAACTACAGCTGATCAGCATATATCATGCCAACCAAGCTTCCTTCCAAATCTACCCACATAGTTCAAATAGCTTTGGAACATAAAAAACAGGTTTCAGTTTTAAGAAGCTTTAAGATAAAAAAGAAATTCAGTCTTTTATCTTATCCTCTACATTTGGTTTCTCCCAGCTTCTGCAGCTTCTACAGCTAGTTTAGCTTTCTTCTCATGCGGCACCTTCTTTGGCTTTCAAGAACAGGCACATCTGTTAACACTTCTGAAGGCTCAGAAATGATACAACTCGATCACTGCTTTGTTATGCAGGTGACAGCATCCGAAAGCAACAAAGATCTTTCTAGCTGCAGCAATGACATACGCAGTGGATGGGTGAGGGGGAAGCAGGGGGTGGGAAGAGAATGAGAAGTAGCAATAAAAGTTCACCAGCATAACCATCACCTTTGTTCATGCAAGTTTTAATCACTCCCAAGACGATATCCACAGAATCTTTGGGGTTGGAAAAGACCTCTAGGATCACCAAGTCCAACCATCTACCCAACACTATCATGACCACTAAACCACTTCCTGAATTACCATTTCCACATTTTTTGAACCCCTCCAGGGATGGTGACTCCATCAGCTCCCTGGGAAGGCTGTTCCAATGCTTCATCACTCTTTCAGTAAAGAAATTCTTCCTAACACCCAATCTAAACCTCCCCTTGTATAACTTAACTCCATTTCCTCTTGTCCTATTGCTAGTCACCAGGGAGAAGAGACCAACACCCATCTCTCCACAACCCCCTTTCAGATAGTTGTAGAGCACAAAAAATTCTCACCTCAGCCTCTTTTTCTCTACACTAAACAACCTCAGTTCCCTCAGGTGCTCCTCATAAGACCCTTCACCAGCTTTGCCCCCCTTCTCCGGATTTTGCTCTGCAAAATGTGTTTTATCAAGACCAAAGTCCTTGCACTCTGTGCAAATCTGCGTCATGGTTCAGCATTTAGCTCCCATAAGCAAATAAGGCTTTAGCCTTTGTGAGGAATGCAAACCATCCCAGTAGTGGAGACATCTCTGTTACTTTTTTTTCAAAATAGTAGCCAA